TGAGTTTCAATATTTTGTGTAGTTTTTCTTATTTTCTGCTAAATTGGGAGCAGTGAGTGAAAATGCGGGACACCCAAAGGGGACAGCCAGGCAGTCAGTCAGTCAGTCAGCAAGCAGCGCTGCCAGCGACGCTGACGGCGACACCGTAGATGTGGTGTGTGTGTGGTGTGTGTGTGTGACCCAGTTGCTGATTTAAAACTTGACCCAATGACTCCATTGGGCAGCTAACTAGCAAAACTATCAAACTACCACACTACGCTCGCATTTATAATGCCAAAAACAAAAACCAAAAAAATAACTCAAAAGCACCAAAAACCCCAAAGCACCTCATAATAATTACCCATACTCAAAAGGCAACATCAGCTTTGTATATATCTCTCTTTAAATGTGTGTGTGCGTATGTGTGTGTGTGTGTGTGTGAGTGTGTGTTAATGTGGCTAAGCGCCTGCTTTGACTCCACTCAAAGCCAAGAAAACAAGAAGGAAAACTCTTGTTAGGTGCATTGACGAAGTTAAAATACCCTAGTTCCTATTGGAATACCTTTATTTATATATTCTATATTAATGCTGATTGGATTTGTATAATGCAAATAGGAAGCTTACAAATTTTGTGGGGCAAGAATATAGGTTTTACTCCAGCATTTATTGATTGTTTGCTGTTATTTATGTGGACTAAAAACAGTTCACAAATTAAGAAAATGCTTTCAAAAATATACCTTTTAAATTAAATTAAAATTAAAGTAAAAGTAAAAAATTAAATTATGTAAAACTAAAAGACGGTATTTAATATATAAATTTAAAATGAATAAATACAATAAAGCATTTAATAAATCTGGGGGTATTCAAATGTAAACTGATCCAACAGCAAAGGTTGCCTGAAAAAAACCCTGAAAAATAAATATATACATAATTAAATGTAAATGATTATTGATATAATGAACTTACTAATTTATGTACATAACTCCAATGCAAAATGGTTCAATATTTGTTGCAAGGATTGGGAAGAATCAGGGGAAACCCAATTAGACCAAATATTGTTAAACGTTGTAGCTTGGTAACAAGGAAAGTAAAAGATTGAAATGTTTCTTTTGGTTTTAAAGAAAGTTTTGAAAAAGTTAATCCGTTTCAGATGATGATCGAATTTTTATTGATTTAGTTTAATTAAATTGGTTTTTATGGCACTTTAATCAGAGTAAAAATAGAGACATCATTTTTATATAATAAACTATTTAAATCATACAGTTTCTGTATATAAGTTTTACATAAAATCAGCTTGTTATTAAGACAACTAAGAAAGAAACAGATTCGGTATCTCTAAAAATATTTGTAACAACTTTGATTTGGCCTGATGATATTATCCATTTCTTGTGCATGGATTTAAAAATAATATATTTGTTTTTTAAATGGACACATAAAAAGAAAACGAAAACAAAAAATCACACTTTAAGACAACAACATAAATCTCAAAAATATATATAAACATATATAAAATCCTTTTTTCTGTTGTATTTTTTTCTGCTCAATTATACACACTTACAGTTCAGTCTTCCGATTTATTGTCATCTGCATAACAATAAAACTCTATTAATATGTGTCTTTAATCTCAAAGTTCATTAGTGTAACACATTTCTTTATAAAATGCAAATACAGCCCGTTGCAAGGGCATAGATGAAACCTGTTATGTATCTTTTCATTTTTACATTTTTTTTTGAGGGCGCAAAAGTGTATTTAAAATGATATTTACATAAATATGTCTGTTTGTACTTGAAAATAGGCCTACAGCAAAAAAAGAAAAAAAAAAATAACCTAACCAGAATGATGAAATGCCACTCGCCCTCAATTTGCATGACCTGCCCCAGAGTTGAATGTGGATACACATATGTGTGTATTACAAGTGATGAATGTGGATACATGTGTGTGTGAGTGTGTGTGTGTCAAAATGGGGGAAGGGGCATCACTAGCTGATGATGATCGTCCATGGCTATTGGCTTTTGTGATCTCTGACTAATGCTAATGCACAATTCAGAGCCACAACTATTTCAAGGTCGCATCACAAATTAGCTGCAGCGAGCAACAAGCGAACCAACTAACTAACTTGGCCCAAAACGTGTGTCGACTCGACTTCGTTTCACAGCACTTTGATTCATTTAGTTTTGGCTTTAGTCTGAGCCATTAACTATCCTAACTTTGACCTATTGAAAACCCATCTTAACATTGAGCATCAGTTTTCTGCTTTGTGTTTAATATTTTTGACTGACTTCTATCTGTGTGTTTCTGTGTGTGTGTGTGTGTATGTGTGCGTATCTATGTGTGTAGCTGCTTGCATTTGTTGTTGTCGATTTGCCCACCTGCAAGACAAGTAATTGGCCTCAATAACTTTGGTATTTTGATAGAGACAGCCGCCAACAGTCGGCTGCAAAGCGGCAACGACAGCCGCCCAAAAATGGTTACAGCCCAACTGTATATTCGTATATATACACATATATATCTATATATATATATGTGTGTGTGTGCATTTTTTGGCTCTTGTCGTTCTTGGCCAATTTGCCGTTTAGTTCGAGTCACCAAATATTGCAAATGGCCGCTGTTTGGTTACTCTCCAGACGCTGACCCCGATTTCAGTTTATTACTTGCAACTTTGATGCCATTTTGGAAATTGCACCACTCAAATAATGCCTTAAACATCTGACAGATTTGGCAGCTAGTCTTAAAGTTAATCTCAAAATTAAAGTTGTGTTTCAATTGGGAGAGATATGTTTTTTAAAAGTACTTTTCTTTAATGTGGAAGTACTTTTCTTTAAATTATTGACTAATTTTTATACATTTTTGAGTATTAGAAATTTGCAATTGATGCAGGCCGAATTAGATCCATAAGGTATATATATTCTTGATCAGTATCGCAAGTCAGGTCAGTCCATCTGCCTGTCTTTTTCTAGTGTCTCAGTTTATGTAGAATCTGGCTGTGTTGCATGACTATATCATATAGCTGCCATAGGAACAATCGGTTTAATGACAAAATTTATTATATGAAACATTTTTTGTTTAACGAGATAACTCAATCAAATTTATTCAATATATTTGTTATTGGGTTTTTTACATTTGCACAAAAAATCAGCGAGATCGAAATTTGTTTAATTTATTGCTTTCATAGGAACAATTGGTCGAAAGATGAGTTCTTGTATAAAAACTGTTTTACTTTTAACAATATATCCAAACCAAACTCATCAGCTATGCATGATTTTTTACATACATTTATTATATCTTGGACTTTATTCATATTTCTTCTATTTATTATATACTTTCAATTTACGCAAAGCCTTTTCGTTCTCTCAAATTGCAAATGGGATCAACCCTGATTTGAAATATGCGTGTATGTACGATATATATATGAATATATAATGGATATATACAACAAATTGAATAAATAATATGTATATTTTATTACACGAAAAGTTATTGCTACAACAAACGTGCAACTTTTTGATGCTAGCTGAGCTGAGATTTTTTATATTAATCAAGAAATAATATAGACAAAATATTAAAAATTGGAATTATTTTGAGGCGTATTGAGGTTAAATGAATATAACCTAATATTAAATATGTCTTGCCGTATAAAGCTTATCGGGTCAACGTAGCCTTCTTCTATTAGCAGCGCTGTTGTCTACCAACTGCAGGGCCAAGCTGTATTGGGTGCTCATAGAGTCCCCTTTTATATAACAGTCTCTGAACTCTGGTAATCTGCTCATGTACTCATTAGGAATCTTTAACTGTTCATTGGATGGTTGCATTGCTGTGAATGATATGGGGCAGTTGAGTCTCGTCGATCAACCTTATTCTGGAAAATCTGTCTAATTCCGCGATGAATAATGCCGGCCAAAAATTGAATCGCATACAGGCTTGAAGACTGCTTTTTAATTTGCTGTCTTATTGTGCAATCCTAGCTTCGGCTTAGCGACCACCACCTGTATTCTGGTTGTATCTTATATGATTTAAACAACCTTCCGTTTCAAACACTCAACGAGTTTCTATGCCTGCGCTGCTTAAACGGGTTGTGAATTGCAAACGACAACCAGCAGCTGTTGTGCACTTTTCATCATCCACTGAATATGCATTATACTTTGATACCGAAGGTGTCGCTGTATATTGGTTTTGTACAATTCTGTCTGTCTGTCAGACATAGTATACAAATTGGAGTGCTACGTCCACTAGGGGGCGCTAGGAAATCGATAAAATCGATATTCACAAATCGATAAAGCCACAAATCTCCCACAATTTTAAGACTACAGTCACTAATCAATTTGGTAGGTAGGTTGTTGGTCATGTCCTTCAAAGATTGGCATACGCCACGCCCACCTCCGCCGTCCCCCGTCCCTAAAAATTGTAAATGACTATATCTTCCGCAGTTTTTGAGTTAGAGCCGTCAAATTTGGTATTTTTATTACTGGTGCCTTTGAAAATCGATAACAAATTTGAATGGCCACGCCCACACCTGCGCCCATAATCGCCAATGCCGATATTCGGAAAGTGTAAATCGATAAATCCGCATATCTCCCACAATTTTGTAGATAGAGTGACCAAACTTGGAAAGTAGCTTGCTGCTAATGTTCTCTAAGGATCGGCGATTTTTTTGGAACACGCCCACACCCGTCGCCCCCATGAACTTCGGCCCTGAAAATATGAAATCTGAAATGCGCATATCCTTCACAGTTTGTAAGCTAGAGTCACCAAATTTGGAACCTATTTTACTGGTAACTCCCCTCAAAGATCGATAAAAAAATTGGATGGCCACGCCCATTCCGCCTACCCAAACCGATACACCTCTTAGTGTAAATCGATAAGACCATATTTTGCAAACAACTTGAAAGTTAGTGTCAAAATTTAAAAGGTATATTGCTGGGAACACGAAACGTTCTCTTGTTTTTTATTCATCTTTAATTTGAAATTTTAATCACTAATCAATCAATCACTAATCAATTGCTAATCAATTTGAATCACTTGCAGATGGCCGAAGCGATTAGCTCAGCAGCATCTAACAGTATGGAGCTGGCGCTCAAGGACGGGGTTGGTGGTGGTGTCAGTGGCGGTGTCGGTGTCGGTGGTGGTGGTGGACTACTTGTGGATATGACGCCGACAACAGCGGCGCTGTTGCATCACAATGCGCTCGCATTGCGCAGTTTGAAGGAGGCCGCCGTGGCTGCTGCCGCCGTATCCGCCTCAGCATCCGCCTCGGCATCCGCATCGGAATCGGAACAGCCGGAGTCGCGTTCGCTGGCTGGGACGCCGACGACGCCAACGAATCTGAGCACAACTGGGCCGCATTCGCCGCCGATGACATTCCGCTGTGAGCGTTGCGACAACTTTGAGACGAGTTCGCGGGCCACGTTGCTGCTGCATGTGGTGCAGTGTCTGGCGGGGCAGGTTGCAGTCGCGGTGCGACTGAAGAGCGAGGAGCCCGAGAATATGAGTGTCAGCCACATGGACAGCAGCAGTGGCGGCGGCGCGAGTTGCAAACAGGAACAGCAGGCCCAAGATGCCACTGGCAATGGTTCCAGCTCCTCGGCCAGCTCCTCGCCGGCTGGCAACAACAGCGGCGGCGTTGGCAACAGCAACAGTGGCACCAACAACAACAACAACAGCAACGGCAACAGCAACAACAATGCGTCACGCAAAGTGTTCGAGTGCGATGTGTGCAACATGAAGTTCTCGAACGGCGCCAATATGCGGCGCCACAAGATGCGGCACACGGGCGTCAAGCCATACGAGTGCCGCGTCTGCCAGAAGCGTTTCTTTCGCAAGGATCATTTGGCCGAGCATTTTACGACGCACACGAAAACGCTGCCCTATCACTGCCCCATCTGCAATCGCGGCTTCCAGCGTCAGATTGCGATGCGTGCCCACTTCCAGAACGAGCATGTCGGCCAGCATGATCTGGTCAAGACGTGTCCGCTGTGCAGCTATCGTGCCGGCTCCATGAAATCGCTGCGCATCCATTTCTTCAATCGTCACGGCATCGATCTGGACAATCCCGGGCCGGGTGGCACATCCTCGCTGCTGCTCGCCCTCGAATCGCAGGCATCCGCTGCCGCAGCAGCCGCCGCCGCCAGCTATGTGTCGCCAGCATTGACTCAATTATCCCAGCAGCAAACGCAACAGCAATCGCAGCAGCAGCAGCAACAGCAGCAGCAGCAATCTTCTGCTCCGGCGAGTCATCAGAGTGATAGCGGTGAATCGATGCGTTCGCTGGAGAATGCAACGCCACCGATGCACTTCCTTACGCCGCACGTGGAGATCTCAACGCTTGGTGAGAGCGTCAATACGGAGCTGTTCAATGTAAGTGTTCCACTGACCACATGCCTCAATTTTCTGTCCTTTTGCTTATGAGCGCTCAGCTGATTTGCGTTTTGCGTGAATCTGCTTTACAGGGCAACAACCACAGCAACAACAACAACAACAACAATCACAGCACAAACAACAACAACAACAATGATCTGGATTCGGAGAAGCTCAAGGAGCACACTTTGCTGCTGGGCGCTCCGCAGGATTTGCCCATGGATTGCAAAGCCACGCCCATTACATCCAGCACCACAGCGACAAGCTTGAGCAGCAAGAGCCATCCACAGCATCATCATCATCACACACATCATCATCCACACCATCATCATCATCATGAGAATCACATAACGCCTTCGATTAGCCTCATACCCATCAAGCAGGTGAGCAGCAGCTGAAATTGCTGATATCTCTGTTATTTGAAATAACTTTGCAACTCTTATTCAGGAGCCGCTGCTGGAGGATGTGGACAAGAAGGAGTCGTCGCTGAATGGCAGCGCCAGCTGTGATCCCAACAGCGACAACGAATCAGCTTCCAACAATAACAACAACAACAACAACAGAATCACCTCACTGATTAAGGTTGAAAATATTCGTTTTGCTCTCGATTCGTTTCAGAAAAAAAAATGCTTTGAATTTTAGAAATTCAGAAAGTTTATCTCTAAAAACAAAGATTTTTCTATTCTTAATTTCAGTTTATATTTTTCTAAAATTTGTAAAATTAATTTTTGAGTGTTTACATTTCTACTTTTTAGAAGTGCATTTCTGAATAATAGAAAATATGTAAAAAGAAAATGAAAAAAAAACACTTTTTAACTTTTTCTTTTTTGATAATTTTTTTTCTTATTAAGAGAGTAAAAACATTTTTTTTTTTAAGAATTAAGATTTGTATTTCAAACTTTTAGAAATACATTTCTCAATAATAGAAAATATTTCTAAAAAATAAAAATTAGTTTTAATTTTATGCAGATTTTCTAAAATTTCATGCGATTTTTTTTCTGAGTGCAACTGAATTGGGCAACACTCGTTTTATATATCTATATATACACAAGATCCAACTAAATCGAAACTTTGTAATCCTTGCACAGGTCTCGCCACTGAAATCGCTGCTGCGCGAGGATTTAAAGAGACGCATTTGCGCGAAGGCGAACAATCGGATCACGAGGAACGCCACGCCGCTGGAGCATGAGCTGCAGAGTCTGCCGCAGAGCATGATGAATGGGAGTGCGGTGAGTGCGAGTGCTGCGGCAGGTGGCGCTGGTGGCGCCAGTGGCACGCCGACAGCGACGCCAACAAATGGCAGCAGCTCGACGCCCATTTGCAACGGAACGATAACGTCGACGGGGCAGGAGAGTGAGCTGCTGCTGAATCGCAAACAGATACTCACCTGCCATTTCTGTGGCATTGAGTTCCCAGACGAGACGCTCTACTTTCTGCACAAGGGCTGCCACTGCGAGAGCAATCCGTGGAAGTGCAACATCTGTGGCGAGCAGCTGAACAATGTCTACGAGTTCAATGCGCATCTACTCAGCAAAAGCCATCAATAGCAGCCACAGTTTGCCGGCAACTGACACTTGCCGGCCACATAAACCAATACATATATGTATATATATCCTTATATATATATATATATATATTTATATATATATATCGAGTGTAGCTCAATCTGAGCTGATCAATGATTAACAAATGAATTAGACACACACACACGCAACTAGTTTAAAAAGAAATTATTATTAATGTTTATATACAATAATAACAAAACAAAAAACACAACAACAACAATGAGAGCTACGTAGTTACCTAATCCCACACAACAACAACAACAATGATTATTGATGAGGATATGTTAAAAAGAGATCTTAGAATCAAATCAAAAGTAACCTCTTTCCCCAAAAAAAAAAAACATATATAAATCCTGTTATGTAGTGTTAATTATGCAATTTTTTAGTCTGTAGTCTTGTGTATTTGATAAGTATACAACAAAAAAAAAAGAAAAAAGAAAGAAAGGCAATAATTAACAATTTTCCAGCCAGTTTAACTGGCAGGTTTGCTTACGTTCTACGTAAAACGTAACGTTCTTACGGCATGCGTAAGCCAAAACGTCAGTTTTAGTGCATCTAGGCAACAAGGCGCCTCAAAGGCGTCCCATGGTTTTAAACTAGGCATTTCAAATATATATATATATATACCATATATATATATATAAATCCAGACAGCTAGACAAACATACATATATACTATATATATTCGTATATATGTGTTTAGGGAGTGGTCGCTTCTCCAATTTGTGAGCAATGATAATAAGAATAATAATTATTATAGAAATTCCAACTTTGCTAAATCAAAAATGAAAAATGTATGTTTTTTGTAGACAATATATTAAAAGTTATGATTTTTATAGACCAATTTTAAAGAATTTTCAAAAATATTTAAAATAAATGTTTTTTTTTTTAAATTAATTTTCAAGCGACCATTGTAATAATAAAGGAGTATATATATATGTACGATATATATAGTATATAGTATGCACACTTTGTTTATATACTCTACAATATATATATATGACCATAACTAATGTCTTTCAATTTGTTATGTTTTTCAGAGTTTATAAAAATAGGACAGCAGTAAAAGCAAGAAAAAATAAGACAAGTTTAATTATAACCACAGATACATATATACAAACATATATAACTACCTTTATATATATACAAGATATATATTCAATATACAGTACGTTTATCTATAGCCAGGATACACTGTTTTAGCAATCAATCACACACACACTCACACACACACACAGCGCTTCGCGAGAGATAAAATAATTTAAGAATTATATATTATTATACTCGTACCTTTTACTTAGCTCCTAGTTAAACTAACTTATAAAACTTACAATAACAATTAAGAAGTGAAAAACAAACGCAAAAGAAAAACATGCAGAATCACCAAGAAAAACGACGCTTTTCAAAAGCCGTCAGTTTTCTACTTATTAGAAAAATCGCACAGTGCTGCTCAAAAGATTGCATACAACAAACGACACTGTGTCAAAAGCGAAAGCAAATAAATCATGTATAAACAAAAACAAATGCAAATGTGATACGAAATTGTTGTAAATAATTGGTTAACAAAATCAAAAAAAAAAAAAAAAGAAAAAAGAAAAAAAGAAATTTAAAAAAAGTACGAGTACTTTATTTAAAATATATAGAAAAATGAAATCAACTATGCCTTAGATGCCTATATACGATACGAGCACGTTTGCGTATACACTGTACAAAAACTGAAATGGGAAAACAAAACAAAAAACAAAAAATGAAAAATGAAAACGAAAAAAAAGAAAAGAAAAGAAAACTGTTGATTAGCGTATAGTTAACTTTAGTGTAAATCAAAATTGTGGTAAACCAACTCAAATTTCCCTCCTCCTACCCCCTAACCGCTACTCCGCCCCCAACTCCTCTGCCCCTCCCTCTCTACTTTGCTGACGTCACTCGGGGGTTGTATGCAGCCTCGGCTGAGCTGCTGTGCGCCAATTTTTACTTCAGATTAAACATCCGTCCATGAGGTTCACAAAAAAGTGTGTAGAGTTGATAAATAGTAGCAAAAATGATTAAAATAAATAATTACTTATACAATAATAATTACATTTGTTATACAATACATAATAATATTTACCATTAATTCTAACTATAATTTGTACAATATTTTTGATGTTTTTGCTTTTGGTTTATTTTATTTTTTTAAATTCGCACTAAGCTAGACAATTAAAAAAACAAAAATAATAATATATATACATATATATATATATATATATATATATAAATATAAACAATTTGTTGTTAATTTTGTTAGCACAGTCAACTAACTTGGCAGGGCCTGCAGCACTTGCATTTTATATACATACAAAAAACAGAAACAAAAACAAATACACATACATAATTATATATATACACACACACATACATACATACATATGTACACATACTTACACACATACCTGTAGTAAACTGCATTGCTCTACTCTAGCCAAATTCTATTTTTCATTTGTAGATGGTTTAATTTTTTTCATTGAATTTCATTTGTTGTGTTCACATAATTTTAGAAAAACGCAAAAAAGCAAAGCATATTAAACATTAATATTCGTATACTCGTAATTAGTTGATAACTTTAATTTTGTTTTATTATTAAACACTTTTTGCGAAACATTGTTAATTAGAATACGATCAAATTGTTATAAATAGTGTGAAAGTGGGTGGGGATAAAAACAAAAAGAAAAACAAAAACAGAAACAAAAATAAAAATAATGCAATTTTGAAATCAAAACGTTTAACGTTGAATGCAACAATTGAGCAATTTTTAGCTGAACTTTCATGTTGAATTTTTAATAGATCTAATTATGTAAAATCAAAAACAAAAACAAAAACAGAAAAAATACAATTAAAATGGCTAAGAAAGGTAACAAAAACATTTACTTAATTAGTAATTATAATTATAGCTACAAAACAATAAAAGGCATGTTAATTTTTTATTAAAAATAAAAATGGTTTAAAACAATGCGAACTGTGTTTAATTTCAATTTATTACCCAACATTTTCAGATGTTTTTAATTTGAATTTAGATTTTCAGCAAAAAGGGAAATTATTTAGAAATGTTCTACAAATTATTCCCTTTGCGGGAATTACGCTGCTTGCTGCAGCACGCACCAAACTGCTTGCAAGCAGCTCAAGATTGCTAAACGTGCATTGGCTAGCGGCGGCAGAGCCAATCAGCTAACAGCAAGCAGCACAGTGGTTTTACAGCCGTTGAACAAGCAGCAAAATACGCATGCGCTATAAATAGTCACAGTGTATATATACATATAACGAAGTATATATGTACAAAGTATATATGTAGTTATATCCTTTTGTGGACTGCATCTGCTAAGCACTTAGTCAACGCTGAGAGTTTGGCATATTAATAAGCCATAACTTGATATGCTACCATAAATAATATACTATAATTTCAATTAACAGATGACAGGCGACAAATAAACAATAATAGTGGGAAAAACCGCACACAGTCGCTATGGATTATGGGATATATATGCACAAATCTGTGTGAGTTGTGTGGATTTGCCTTAGACAGCTTAGTATATATATATATATATATATATATATATGTGTATGAATATCGATGTCGGAAGCAATGCGGCTCATTTCCATGAATGCAGTTAGAGCTGAGGCCATTTGCCAATTTTGAGCTAATGCCTTGGCCCAAATGCAGTTGTTGTTGTTGCTGTTGTTGGCCCTAAGCCTGAGGTGCAATGTTTGGGCTTGCAGCGGCAATTTGTTTGCAGTTTTGTTTGTGATTTAGGGGATAATGCGCCATAAAGCCAAACACACGATTGACTGAATCCGACGGCACACAACGGCTGCAACTAATCGACACCAGTAGCTGTGTGGCAGGGGTAGCGGCCCAAAGAAAGAGAGAGGAAGAGAGAGAGAGAGAGTGAGCCAGATTGCGGGGCAAGGATAATGCACGGAAAGTCCATTGTGAATGCATCAATAGGCATAATCGCAACATCAATATTTACCCCACATACACATGGATATGCTTAGGCATACACTGCGAGAAAATGCGTGCTCTCAACTTGTATACAATCTTCTAACTGCTCAATGCTTAAAATTTGAATTAAAATTCATTATGGAATACTTTTAGTTGTATACAAATAATTAATGATTAAATTGCTGAATTGGAATTAAAATTCTAGAAAAATGTGCAAAATATTCATTACAAGATTTGTTGTACTTATTATAAGCATAATACTTTCTAGTGTATTTTTTTTTAATTTTTCAAATTAACGCTTAATAAAATAAATTGAGCTTTGATCAAGAATTTCATATTGGAGTATTTGAAATTAAATCTTATTGAAAGATTGGAATCTAATATATTAAAAGACAAAATTAAAAGTGTGAACAATTTTATTTGGCTTAACCAGAAATAGTTTTACTTATTATTATTACAATTATTTATATTTTTCAATCTCAATAAAATATATATAAGATTATAAGTAGGCTTTGTACATAGTATTTTCTTACTGGGATTTGTGTAGAGAATGTTCTATTTTTTGCTCAGTGTATGCATTAAATGTATGTCTATATGTGTGTGCGTGTGTGTGTGTGTGTTGGCTTTAAACAATGCAGGCAAATCCCGATGCGAACTGAGACGACGTTCAATGAGACGATTAACACCTTAAATATGTCATTAGAGGCGACAAATGGAAAATAGATGCGACAGCCGAAGGTTTTCGATCAAAATCTGTGGCATCCACAACGCAGTCGTAGTTATTATTGTTGCTGTTGTTGTTGTTGTTGTTGTTATTGGTTTATAATCATTGGCAGCCTGTCGAACTGTGGTGTCGATGATGCGCGTGTTTTTATTTTCAAACGGCGATTATTTGGCCCTAAGCCGATTTGCTTCAGATATCATTCACACATATGTTTGTGCCTCATGCATGCACATACATACATCTATACATACATATATACATACATCCATACCTATGCATATTTGTGCCTTCATTTTGATTTTATTTGGTAGTCCTTGGCATTCAGCTTGGCATTCAGGTGACATAAACCTTTACCAATCGCTGCCGGCCCAGGGATCATATTTTTGTTGGCTTGGCATGTGCAGCGATTTATTTAGATGTTTGTGTGGGGTCGAAAACTAAACCGATTAGATCTCGGCTTAGGACAAGGCAA